TATCAGGTTAGTACCAAATTACCTATAAAATAATTACGTATAACTTAAAGTATTTAATCGGCTAAAATTCATTTAATATTGTTTTATATAGTTTCTAATAACAGTCAAATCATGATTAAATCAAATTATAAAGCTTAGTTAAATTATATTGACGATATTATAATTTTTTTTTTCTCTTTATTGGTTTAAACTGTTTTTTAAAAAATAAGTCAAGAGAGTGTATAATTGAAAAAATTGCATAATATTATTTATTACATACTAAGGCATACCTGTGAAGCTGTTTGATGGTCTGAATTGTATTTGTTACCCTTAATTGTTGTTAATTATAAAGTTAAATATCAAGGTAGTACATGTACCATTTTGTTTAATTATTTAAGAGTTTGAAAAATAAGTAAGGGAATTAGTTTTCATTTCTTTACAACTGTAAGCAAAATTGTATAAAACTACTTATGAATTATATTTTATAAAATATAAACTTCTTGTTTGTATAAATTTCAGGCATTTGCACTAGTCTCCCAATACCAGCCAGCATGCCAGAAGATAAGGAGCAAATTAGGAAACGAGCTAGTTACAAGGGACAAATAACAGCTTTTTCAAATTATTTAAATTCACTGAAGGTATCTTCATTGGCTGCTACTGAGGTAAATGAGTTGCAATTACGTATTAGTAGGATTGAGTCAATGTATGAACGATATGATGAGGTACAATTATCCATCGAGTGTAATACTGATAATATAGACGCCCAGATATCAGAACGAACTGATTTTGAATCCCTGTATTTTAAATCGCTTTCTCTTGCAAAAAGGATCTTAGCAGATTGCATTAAGTCAGATGACGTAAGCAGTGACGGTGGCTCTCATTCCGGCAATCATAAATTTGTTAAACTGCCCACTATTCAACTACCTAAATTTAATGGTTCTTATGATAATTGGTTAGAGTTTCATGACACGTTCATGAGCCTCATACATTCAAATGACGAGATAGATGACATAAATAAGTTTCACTATCTGAGAGCGTCGTTGGAAGGGCCCGCTGCTGTGGTAATACAGTCAATCGAATTCTCGGCAGCTAATTACACCGTCGCATGGACTATATTATGTGATAGATATGATAATAAAAGACTACTAATTCAAAATCACGTGACAGCCTTATTTAATATAGCACCAATTAATAAAGAATTGTCTGTCAACTTAAAACGTCTTATTGACCAAATAAATAAAAATTTACGTGCACTAGAATCTCTCGGTGAGCCAACTAAACAATGGGACACACTTCTCATTCATATTATTACTCAAAAATTAGATGCTAAGACATATCGTGAATGGGAAGAGTCTAAAGGTCGTTTGGAGAAAGATACACCTATTACGTTCGATATATTTTTGATGTTTTTAAAAAATCGAGCCGATTTAATCGAAACACTAGAAATGTCTAATTCTGGTGCTACTAACCGTTTAAATTCTTCTATAAAATATGCTCCAAAAGTTAAGGCAATGGTTTCAGTGCGGGATACCGGTAATAAAAACGGTTCGGCCTTTTCCGCCAAACTGTGTCCTAAATGTAAGGGTGACCATAAGTTAAGCAGTTGTCCTCAGTTTCTTGGATTAAGTAACGATGTGCATCTACAGTTACTGCCAGAGTATAAAGTATGTTTCAATTGTCTTAATTCAGGACATTATGCAAATCACTGCAAAAAGCCAGGATGCAAAATATGCCACCGAAAGCATAACACTCTCGTGCACGTCGCAGATTACCAGTCAAAACCAATTACAGATATTAATACATCTAACATGAGTAGTGGTAATAATAAGCCCGTTATGCAAGGTCATTTCGAACAAACAAACAGTTCGACAGGCTCACAGTTGTCATCCAATTCTAACGCACATCTGTCATTATCCGCAAAGGTAGGCACTGCATCGTGTAGTGAACAAGGCGACGTATTGTTATCGACGGCATTAATTAAAGTTATAGGTAAGAATGGTTGTCCATATATTGCTCGTGCTATTCTTGATAGTGGCAGTAACGCTTGTTTAATAACTGAAGAGTTATATCAAAGGCTAGGTTTGCCCGCTCAAAATGTAAATCAGTCGGTAGTCGGTATTAATAATGCTTCGGCACACATCAAGAAGATTTGTAAGGTATCGATAAAATCATTGAATGATAACTTCTCTAGTAATCTTCATTGTTTTGTCCTACCATCAATAACCCAAAATGTACCTACTAGATATGTTAATTTGTCAAACTTAAAAATTCCATCTAATATTTCTCTGGCAGATCCTAATTTTCACTCACCTGCTCCCGTTGACATGCTTATAGGTGCTGATGTCTTTTGGGACTTAATAGGAACGCAGAGATTAAAATTAGGGGACGGTCAGCCGATTCTTTGTGAAACTAGCTTAGGATGGTTAGTATCAGGTCCGATAGATTATAGATATGTAAAGAAAGGGGTTAACTTTATTAAATGTAATTTTACAAGAATATTTCAAGATGAGGCTAGTAAAGATTTAGATGAAGATATACAAAAACAATTAGTACGCTTCTGGCACCTCGAAGAGGTAAGCCCTGCGTCTCTTTATTCAAACGAAGAAAAATTATGCGAAGAACACTTTTTAAAAAACACCACGCGACTGGCAAATGGTCGATTTTGCGTGAGGATACCCTTAAAACATAATCCTGACGTATTAGGTGATTCTTGGCCACGAGCTAAAAAGTGTTTACTATCGCTAGAGCGCAGGTTAGCAGGTCAATCTCAGGTCTATGAAATGTATAAAGAATTTATGTCAGAGTATGAAAGTCTGGGTCATATGGAGAAATGTGAGAATGATAATTTACCACGTAAGATGCATTTTATACCACATCACGGTGTGCTTCGGGAAAGTAGTACTACTACTAAATTAAGAGTGGTTTTCAATGCTAGCAGTCCGACTTCTTCGGGTGTTTCCTTGAATAATATACAGATGGTAGGTCCCGTGGTACAGGACGACCTTTTGTCCATTCTTTTACGCTTTCGGCTACACAAATACGTTCTCACAGCTGATGTTGAGAAAATGTACCGGCAAATAGTCATTCATCCCGATGACCGCTATTTGCAACAAATTGTCTGGCGTGATAACCCTTCAGAACAGCTTCAAGCTTATCAACTTAACACCGTGACTTACGGCACCTCTAGTGCTCCCTTTTTGGCAACTAGGTGCCTCCAACAATTAGGCTTAGAGTGTACCGATGACAAGGTTGCTCAAGTGATCATTCACGATTTTTACGTTGATGACTTGCTAACGGGAGGGGATGATATTAACGAGGTTACAGATTTGCGCCGTAAAGTGACTTCCACACTTGCATCAGCTCATATGGTTTTGCGAAAGTGGAAGTCGAATGAATCTCAACTGGTTAGTGAAAATGATATTTCTCCGCTTGATTTGAATATTGGTGGCTTTGAACCGACTAAAACTTTAGGCCTTGGTTGGCAATCACATACTGACCAACTTTGTTTCCCTATAGGAGGGCTATTCTCAGGTAGAACAAAGCGTGATATGTTATCTGTGATTTCTCAGATTTTTGATCCACTAGGACTTCTATCTCCCTGTGTAATTAAGATGAAAATGCTTCTTCAACAGTTGTGGCTGCTCAAGCTGTCATGGGATGAGCAGTTGACGCCAGAAATCAGCAAGATGTGGGCTGAGATAATAGTCGATTTACCTAAATTAAATACTCTACGTATTCCACGTCGTGTTATTTGTGACTCGCCTAGTTTGTTTGAATTTCATATTTTCTCGGACGCTTCTGAGCGAGCATATGGCGCCTGTTTATATGTGCGTAGTGTTAATGATCAGGGTGAGGTTTTAATTCAATTATTGATGGCGAAAAGTCGTGTCGCGCCGCTTAAACCTATAACAATCCCAAGACTGGAACTTTGTGGTGCACTTGTTGGAGCTCGCCTTTACCAAAAGGTTGTAGCATCGCTGAGACAACAGGCTAAGCGCACTTTCTTTTGGACAGATTCGTCCATCGTGTTAGGATGGTTAAAGGTGTTACCTAGCAAGCTACAACCCTTTGTCAGAAATAGGGTTGCTGAAATATTAGAGAAGACTGGAAATTGCGAGTGGAGGCATGTCCCAACAGAGTGTAATCCGGCCGATCATATTTCTCGCGGTGTGAGTTGTAAGGATATTTCATCCATGAGTAAGTGGTGGTCAGGACCTGAATTTTTAAAGAAAGAGGTCTCTCACTGGCCTGCAAATTTCTTAAGTATTAATCACGAGTTGCCTGAGATTAAATCGTCAAATGTTATCCTCCACGGAATACTTCATTCTAGCAACAATGAAGATTTAGGTGGGAATAAATTAATTGAATTTAAACGCTTTTCTAAATATACTAGATTAAATCGGACCGTTGCTTATGTGCTGCGTTTTATTAATAATTGTAGAAAGCAATCCGTTCACGGTCCTCTAAGCAATCAAGAGTTGCAAACCGCACTCAATGTTATTATAAGAATATCCCAGAGTGAATCATTTGAGGAATACACCATGTTAATTAAAAATAAAAGTTTACCCACTAAAAGTCCGTTGCATAAATTTAATGTATTTCTCGATGATAATAAAATAATGCGTGTTGGAGGGCGTCTTGAAAATTCCGATTACTGTTATGAGAAAAAACATCCCATACTTATACAGTCCACTCATTATTTTACCAAATTGCTCTTCAATTATGAGCACATAAGGTTAATGCACGCGGGACCACAGCTAATGTTGGCCACTATAAGAGAGATGTACTGGCCGATTAGAGGTCGTAATTTGGCCAGATCTTGTTATCGACAATGTGTAAGATGTAATAGAATGAAAGGAAAAACCATCTCTCCAATAATGGGCAACCTACCACACCAACGCATCCTTTCTGGTTTTCCATTTCAAAATATTGGACTAGACTATGCGGGACCAATTCAATCTGTTTCTCGCCATGGCCGTGGTTGTAAAATTGTAAAGGTGTATATAGCTATTTTTATTTGCTTGGCGACTAAGTCAATTCATCTTGAATTAGTGGGTGATTTAACTAGCAATACCTTCATATTAGCTTTGCGCAGATTTATGTCTAGAAGAGGGAAACCTCTTAATATTTATTCGGATAATGGTACCTCCTTTGTAGGCGCATACAATGACATTTCAAAATTTATTGGGACGTGTTGTAATTCTTTATCTGAGGTAATGGCAAATGAAGGAATTAATTTCCATTTCATACCGCCTTATTCTCCCCATTTTGCTGGGCTTGCGGAGGCTGGTGTCAAATGCATTAAATATCATTTAGTTAGAGTGCTGGGCAATTGTAATGTGACTTACGAGGAACTAAATACCACATTAATACAAATTGAGGCTATACTTAACTCCAGACCACTCACACCTTTGTCAACGAATCCTGAAGACTTGCTACCACTAACGCCCGGTCATTTTTTGATTGGACGCCCCTTGACTTCCTTGCCGACACCAGACTATAAAGATCATTCCGTAAGCTCTTTAACCCGATTTCAACGAATAGAACAATTACGTCAACATTTTTGGGCTAGATGGAGCAAGGAATATATATCAGAGCTTCAACTGCGGATGAAATGGCGTTCCTGTAAAGGCTCTTTGAAGTTAAATTCACTGGTACTCCTAAAAGAGGAGAATTCACCGCCATTAAAGTGGAAGATGGGTCGCATCGTCGCAGTCCATCCAGGCTCGGACGGCGTATCAAGGGTGGCGGATATCAAAACATCGACTGGTATAGTTCGCCGATCATTTAGCAAAATTTGTCCGCTTCCTGAACCTGAAGAATCTGGTTGAAAGGTAGACTTTCAACGCCGGGGGGCATGTTGAAGCGCCTGTCAAATTATATTAGCAGTTCTCATGCCAATATTAGTCCGTAAGCTGTGTAGGTATGTTTAAAAAAAGTTGTTGTACCTGTCGTCGTTGTAAAATTTAGAGATCAAGTAAAGGTCGATTGAGCAAATTACAGCATTTTACTATTAAAAAGAGATCAAATTCCTATTCATATGGTGTAATCAAAATAGTGCTTTCTATTCTACGCGTCAATATGAACAACTTTTACTACAGATCTATCTTCCAAATCGAATCGAAACGATGCTGCCACACTCGGTCTTCAGCTTTGACAGTTGGCTCTTTCTGGCAGACAGATCTCTGGCAAAGACTTTGGAGCCTTGGTTCCGTTCGATCACTTTTTCAATACAAGCTGTATTGAAGTTGCGTAAGTCCCGCCGCATGCATTTGGAGATCTGTCTGTTCAGTTGCCTGTATGCTGTCAAATCCGTTGAAGAATGTAGCTTCATCTGCCGTCTAACAGCCATGAGATTAAGAGTGTGATCGGAGAGTCTTTGTGTTCTTCTGCGGCGGGTCTTGCATAACTTAGCTCTGACCGCATGGACAGTTTCCACGAGCTTGTCATTCATATCGTCCACTTCATTGCAATCTTCTAGGCACAGAAAACGGTTTTGTAGTTCGAGCTGAAAGGTTTCGGGACTTTGGATTAGAGCATGAGTGGTACGGAGCGTTGCCTTCATTAGATGTGACCCCTCCAAGTTAATGTTTAGGTTCAGTGTGTCTCTTACCATTCGGTGATCGCTGCTGGTTTTCACCCTCGCGATCACTGAGACATCACTGAACAGTTGTTGTCTGGTCATCATAATGAAGTCAATCTCATTTTTGTCTAACTTTCGGGGCTCGACCAGGTCCACTTCCTGTGGGGCCGCTTCTGGAAGAAAGAGTTTATCATAAAGAGTCTCCCTTTATCCATAAAGTCTATCAACTGCTGGCCCCTTGGGTTCTGTTCCCCTATTCCAGATTTCCCTACCTTCAACTCACCGTTCTCTCGTTTGCCTAGTTTTACGTTGAAGTCTCCCATTAACACTGTATAATGGGATTTGGAGGAATGTATGGCTCTAGATATATCCTTATACATTTCCTCCACCTCCTCATCGGGATATGTCGAGGTTGGTGCGTAAACCTGTATTACCTTCAACGAATACCGTTTGGTGATTCTGAGTATAAAGTATACAACCCTCGTCGACACACTCTCAATCCTTACAACGTTGTTAACGAGAGACTTGTGGACGATAAATCCGGGATATGGGAATCTGTACGAGAATAATTAAAGAATGTACTAATGTGTAAGAGCTTGTGACCATCTTAACACACCTTATAAAACTCTCATTCTCAAAGGGTTTTTCCTGAGTTGCTGAAGCAATCTATCGTCAAGTCTCTGCACAAAAAAGATGCAAAAGATGAGTTCAGCAAATACCGGTCCATTACTTTAATTCCAATCCTATCTAAGATATTTAAGAAATGCATGCATCAAAGAATAATGAACTAATGTAATGTAACACGTATAATAATATTTATAAAGAACAGTTCGGATTCCAAAAGGAAAAGTCCACAACATTAGTAATCTTCACTTTAGCAAAGAAGCCACTATTTTTTGACATGTGAAAGGCTTTTGGTTTTGTTGACCATAAACTTTTATTAAATAAATTAGAATCGATAGGATAAGGGGATCCACTCATCGGTGGCTAAAATCCTACTTAAATAATCGAATTCAACGCGTAATAGTCAGCGGTAGGTGACGAACAGATGAAGGTATTCTTACGCTTCTGAATCAAAGATGGGAAATCAAGGGTGTGGTTTTAATACCGTAGTGCTCGTCTAGTAGTATCTACCTATATATAAAAGTTAGAACGAATCAGGATTTTTACTCACCTCGCACGTAACAATATGTTTTTTTTTATGTAATCCTTAATGTGCATGGTAAATCCCACGGCCTTAATCTTAAGTTAGTCAAACTTAGGTAAATACCTATATTTGATTTATTCATGATACGAGCATTGATATATTACCCCCTTTTAATATATCAATGGGTACGGGTAGGTGATATCCATAGACTTAGCATATATACTGGGAAAATTCAAATTCCTCTCATTTGTTTAATAATCTTTGATTGTATAATAATCTATGATTTATACTTTGGCAATCAGTTGTCAAATCAAATGATTCAGTAATTATATCTATTAAAATTCGTAAAAAATGGCTTACAGTTTAGGAGATCGATTTTCACGATTACCTAAAAATTATACTCTTCTAGACCCAGGTGCATATGAAACATGGAGAAAGATTCAAATAAAACCAAACATAGCGCCATTCCTATCAAAAACCCCTCGCGTTTCTCAGTCAGCAAAAAAGATTTGGACTCATGCAATTTACTACGCTGATACACCTCGCAGAATTCCAAACTGTTCCTCAATGATGTCAAAACTACCGCGATTTGCATACGAACCCTTTAGTCAAAAAGATTTAGATGAAATTCTTTGTCAATGCGGCATTCAAAATACATGTGAATGTGAAACCGAAAATGATAATAATAAAAATAAAGAATCTGACTTTAATAAGGCTCAAAAGCAAAGAAAAATATTCATAGGGCCTCCACCACGATCAATGATAGAATCAGGTTTGTCATTTCCATCTAAAAACGACAAAGGATTTATTGTTTTAGCCGATGGCACAAAAAAAAGGAGACTTGAAAAAATTAAACAATCAACTCCTTGTTTCCCCGATGTGAAATTAAACGAAATGACTGCTTTTTATAGGGGATGCAAGTGGAGTCTCAGGACTTCAAATAGAACTTTTAAAACTTATGATATTAAACCTGGACCTGCTGACTACACTCTTGAACGAGAACCAACTCTAGCATATCAATGTGCTGAAAAAATTCGCGCAAGTAGACGTAAATATTCAAAACAATATCGATATATTGAAGCAATTCAGCTAAAGAACTTCAAGGAAAACCATCCTGGTCCAGGAACGTACGATTCAAGTCTTCCTAAAGGGCCAGAACTACAGTTTTTGGGCTCAAAAGCTGAACGATTTATGTCAAAAAAAGTTGATGATATTCCTGGACCAAGTGATTATAGAATTAAGCGTGATTTCGACATACCAGAACTACAAAAAAAGCGTTGCCTGGCGACGCTACCCGAACGAGCTCCTTTTGGAGTTAAAAGTAAAAGATTCAAGTACGCCAGTAACATTGGCCCCGGTCCTGCTTCCTATTATACGGATCACAGAATTTGCCAATTTTCACATTGTCAGATGGCGCCATTCGGTTCTTCTTCAGTGCGATTTACTAACATGAAAACAGTAACCGATATTACCGATTACGATGAAGATTATCTAAATAAACGATGTGAAGGTCATAAAGGTATCACCTCTTATCCGAATTGGATGTTTATGTCCCGCACTGAAAGACTAAAACCGCTGAAAAAAAAGTCGAAAGAACCCAGTCCGGCGGATATTTCTTATAGCAATTTAGTATCTAGAAGATCTTTACAATTGCAAAATACAGCACCTTTTTATTCTTCAGAAGCACGTTTTCAACCATGGCATAATTGGATTCCTGTCCAAAACGCAGATGAAACACCTGGACCTGGAAAATATAAATTAGAGCCATTTTCATGTATACCAGCGGTAAAACAGGGACCAATTTTTCGGTCTGAACGTTTTAAACTGAATATTTCACAAATACCAGCAAGTAATGTATATAAAGTGGGCGGAGGACTAGAAGAAGTCTTACGTACACATAATCAAAGATTAAAAGACAATATAAAGCAAAAACACAAGTTCCACTGGCATTCCCCCAGTTTAAAGGGAAAATTGACTAATATTGAAAAAGAATCACTTTTATTCAATAGATGCATAGCTATATTAAATACAGATATTTGGCAAGACAAAATTTGTTCTAATGAAAAAAAAAGTTCAAACTCGGAATTGCAACGTACTAAAAAGAAAAAAATGTTGAGATGTTTTCTGTATAAAAATAAAATACCTCATTATTTTTAAATATTTGTCAATAAGAAAATCAACAAAATGTAAATTTGACTTGACTGCATAAAATCATGGATGTCTTTTTTCTTACTGCATTAAAAGACTTTTTTTAGCTCGTTTGTCGTGTCATAACTATAATATAATAGTCAAAATAAATACCATCGCCATCACGTTAACTAGTAAACCGAGTCTCTCTTTTCTCTGTGTAGATGGTATTACTTTTTTTATAGGATAAGTGTGACAAGCGAGCACACAGTCCTACGCAGTCCAACTAAAATATTAATTTCATAAATGTAAAAAACATAAGTTATATCGACAAGTAAATAATCTCTACAATTTATTATTCCAGTGAATATGCCATCCGATTGCGTAGACAACCTTTCTCATATCGCGATAGTTTTTTTATAGGATATGGCATAGGATAGGGCAAACAAGCATGCGGCTCACCTGATGTTAAGTGACTACCACCGCCCATGAACAACCGCAACACCAGGGGATGCGTTGCCGGCCCTTTAAAAAGGAGTAGGCTCTTTTCTTGAAGGTCACTAAGTCGTATCGGTCTGGAAAAATTGCTGGTGGTAATCGATTCCACAAGGAAGTTGTGCGAGGAAGAAAACATACGTAGTGAGTAGTAGTAACATACGAAACGTAGTGGACCGCCTATCGTTCAGGTGGTATGGATGGTCGATTATGGTACTGTGCAGTGAAGCAAATAAGACAAAAATGCGTTATTTTATCCTGAATAACTCTAATAACAATGTGTGTAATCGTGTTATGGCGGTGTAAGAATTTTCACTACCCTATATCGTCCCATGATGAGTGTAGTATGAGGCAACAGAAGAAAAAATTATGAGACGAGCAGCAACGTCATCCTAATAACCTGTGGTTGCAAAACCGCCTGCCAAGAGTGGAAATAATGGCAAATATTTCTCTTATGAGCCATTCTATGGGGAGGCGTACGTATATGGAGCATTAATAAGCTGTAATGGATTAATTCATTATTTTGATATTAATTAAAATATTATAATGTTATGGTTATCTCGCGAATGAGTTTACCGATTTCGCGAATTGATTTGTCTCATTAGAGAAAAATAAGAGCCCAGTCATAGATTAATGATAAGTCATCGCGTTAATCTATGAGCCCAGTTAATGATTACCTACTTACACAACGTTGTGTTATTTTTAATTCTACCTACCTATTTATAGACGTGGTAAATCAGAGGCAATACTTTTGTTGTAAATTTCGTGATTTTCAATTTTGATGGCACATAGTAACGGGCTTGGCCGTGAAGGTAACTGCATATTCTGTTGAATGTTGAAACTTCCAAAATAGTGATATTATATGTACATTTTATGCGATAATCACAATTCAACAGAGCGAACGCGAGTAGGTACTTGCTAAGTTCAGTACTACGAGTAACCGCGCGTACCTACATATTATATCGAATATCAGAGTTAATGTCCGGTTGACTCTATTACATGACATAATACTTATAATAAACCCAACAACTATATAATAATTTTGAACTAATAATTTATGAATAATCTAATCTAATAGGTGACGGCTCCGTGGCGCAGTTGCTTAGCAAGGAGTTGCTCCGCTGGGGGCCGCGGGTTTGAATCCCGCACGGATCAAGTATTTGTGTGGCCTACAAATAATTGTTCCGGGTCTGGATGTTTATCCTCGTGCAATTTATGTTTGTAAGCTGCCTCCACGATGCAGGAGAAAATCCTAGAGTAGGGATAACGTTTTTTTTAAAAAATATATGAATAATCTAATCCAATGTAATCAATATTATTTAAGATGAATAATTTAACCTAATAATCTAATCTATTATTATAAATAATGTAATCAATGAACTATTAATAATATTTGACATTTGTATGCCCATGAGGCTGATCACAGACCGAACTTTATTTTTGTTTAAATAAGACGTTTTTGTAATATGTTTATAAATCAAACCAAATAAACTATTTGGTTTGAATTATAAACTAACGTATTGAACATTTAGCTTTTATATGATTATACTTATATGTATAGTCACGGTGTGTAGTGCTGTAAAAAAAAGAAAATGGAAAAATGACAGATAATCTGCCAAAAGTGGATATTTTTATAGTGGAGCAGTATTATTCAGAAAATTGTGATTTTTATCATCAGAAATGCGTGGAATAAAGCTCCAAAGGTAAGTTACTAATAAAAGATTACGAAAAGTATACAGCTTTACCATTGATTAGTAACTAGGCAGTAATACATAGGTAGGTATTAACTGACCGAACCAGACCGAACCACGAAGTAGCACATGATTTACAACGACATAAAATGAAAAAACTTACTTAAACTTACTAATGCAGTGAGTATTAATCAACTCGTACTGTTATTTAGTACCTAGTGGCACGTGAAGAAATTTTGTTGGTTACGTAGTTCGTCAGTGGTTGCAAACATATGGTCCTAGTTTTACTTTGACTTTTGAATAAACTGATTGCGGTATTACGGTGGTAGTTGGTACCTATTCCGTTTTGAAAATGCAATGGTCGCAAACATTCAATGCGTGTAATACTAAACTGGTTTTGATGAAATTTTGCATTTGTGAATTTATATTACACTGCATCGTTACTTCGTTAAGATGACTCCTATGGTAAAATTATTTTGTCCGTGCAGTTGGGGTCATAAATTATAGCTCAGCCTCAGCCTGGCTAGGGCGGTGACCATGTTGCGCGGGCGCAACGCCATTATCTATAACAACAAATGAATCATCGAAAGCAGGTACACGGCGGCGGTGCGGTATACAAAGGCTGGTGCGACATTGTTATGTTATGAGTCATTTGTTTAACATTATTACCCCTGCCTAATACCTGCAAATTAGTGCAATGATAATTTAGTACATAAGTATATCGAAGAGAAATTTGTTTTTGAGCATTCGCTCTTTGAATATCTTTAGTGACACAATGGCTACTCCTTTGTTTTGTACCAAAACGGCAGAATTTATTTGTTCGCAACGGCCAAATAGTGTTGAAAATCGAAGTGATTAAAGACAATTTTAATAGTGAAATCACCGACAAAATCGAGTGAATAATGTATTAATATACTTTTACAGCGTGTTTATAATTCTTAATATATTTGTATAGAATGTCGTTTCGATAATAAATAGTTAAGATAAACAACTTTTATTGTATAAGGAAAAATCGACCAATCACAGCGCGTCGTATCGTAGAACTTTCTAGAATTTTTTTTAATTAACTGCGTAATAGTTGATACTGAAAATGATGGGAATAATGTTATGTTCCTAAAGAGTAATAATTATGACATTGAATTAGCATAAGGTATATAGATTATGGAAGTGAAGGAATATTTTGTATAATTAAACGCATTTCCTATTTATAGAAAAATTTAAGAATTAATGTACCCAAATATTATGAAAATTTGGGACATTTCGTTTAATAACTTTTTAAAATGTTAATGTATTGAGTAAACTTTATAATATACTAATAAAGGACTAAAATGCCGATTTAATGATATATAGCATGTTAGTGTAGAAATCGATCTTGTATAGAAAATATTGTATATTATCCCAATTGTATAGGGAAAATTTTATGCAATAAAGAGGCAAAACGGAAAATGGCAAGCGGCTCACTGTAAGGTATACGAGTAGCCAAAGTCTACCGTATGGGCTCGGGACCCAGCAACGTTGTGGTGTGAAAAGCTACCAGTGAGAAGTAGTAGTACCCGGTACTAGCTAAAGGGACTAGTAGCAGTATACAGTGAATAGTAAAAGTGTTAGCTAGCCGAAAAAAGTGGTAACTGAAATTCTCAGTTACATATAGTGAAAGCGTTAGCTAGCCGAAAAAAGTGGTAACTGAAATTTGCAGTTACATATAGTGAAAGTGATAGCTAATCGCAGAAAGTGGTAACTGATATCCGCAGTTACACAAGTGATAAAATTAGCTAGTTTAGTTGATGATAGCCGCTAGTCAGTAGTGTTAAGAAAACCAGCTACTACCAATAGATATTTTGAAACTACCGAACAATTTAAAGAAATCTTTTGAAATATACAGTGACCAACCGATAGTGAACAACCGTAGTTGAACAACCGTATTCAACAACCGTGGTCAATAAACAATAGTTATAAAATTTCGCGACTAATCGATCAGTCGAACCGCTGGCCACTACCTTGCTATTTGTATTTATAGATCGTGCATTTTAATTTTGAACCTCAGTCCACAGTTTTCCAGCAGCACCCACAAAGACGGCAGTAGAAGTATCCTCCGGAACCTATAGGTGTACGACGTGAGCGACTCGCGGAGTATCTTGGTCAACATTTACTCCGGAGAGTTTCGCCCGTCCGGCACATTATTCAAAATACATAAGTCCACTGCTGAACATAGGCCTCCCCCAAGGAATGCCACAAAGTACGGTCCTGAGCCACCTGCATCCATCGACTTCCTGCATATCTTACCAGGTCGTCACTCCATCTCGTGGGGGGTCGCCCTACACTTCGCCTACCGGTACGAGGCTGCCACTCAAGAACCTTTCTTCCCCATCGGTTGTTGGTTCTTCGAGCTATATAGCCGGCCCACTGCCACTTCAGCTTACTAATCCGTTGGGCTATGTCGGTCACTCTGGTTCTACTGCGGATATCCTCATTCCTAAGTTTATCACGCAGAGAAACTCCGAGCATAGCTCTCCATAGCTCGCTGAGCGACCTTGAGCTTCCTCATACGGCCAGCAGTGAAGGACCACGCAAGTCATCAGTGGCAATACGCACTGGTTGTACAATTTCATTTTAAGGTTTTAAGGAATGTCTGACGAGAAGTGTCGTAGTTTATCGAACGCTGTCCAGCCGAGTTGAATCCGTCGATTGACCTCTCGGTCGAAGTTGGACTTACCTAGTCGGACTATTTGTCCCAGGTAAACATACTCGTCAACAACTTCGAGCTTAGTGCTCCCAACAACTACCGGCATAGATGTGACATGGACATTGAACATGATCTTTGTTTTGTCCATGTTCATCTTAAGA